TCAAAAAAATATCGATTTTATATCTATATTGGCATTTTTTATCATTTATAATACCTAGATTTGTTTTAAAATGCAATTTACAGCATTTTTGGTTTTTGATCATAGCAGGCTTTTTTCAAAAAAATATCGATTTTATATCTATATTGGTATTCTTTATCATTTATAATACCTAGATATGTTTTAAAATGCAATTTAAAGCATTTTTGGTTTTGATCATAGCAGGCTTTTTTCAAAAAAATATCGATTTTATATCTATATTAGCATTCTTTATCATTTATAATACCTATATATGTTTTAAAATGCAATTTACAGCATTTTTGGTTTTGATCATAGCAGGCTTTTTTCAAAAAAATATCGATTTTATATCTATATTGGCATTTTTTATCATTTATAATACCTAGATTTGTTTTAAAATGCAATTTAAAGCATTTTTGGTTTTGAATATAGCAGGCTATTTTCAAAAAAATATTGTTTTTATATCCAAATTAGCATTCTTTATCATTTAAAATACCTAGATATGTTTTAAAATGCAATTTAAAGCATTTTTGGTTTCCATCAAAGCAGGCTATTTTCAAAAAAATATCGATTTTATATCTATATTGGCATTATTTATCATTAAAAATACCTAGATTTGTTTTAAAATGCAATTTACAGCATTTTTGGTTTTGATCAAAGCAGGCTTTTTTCAAAAAAATATCGATTTTATATCTATATTGGTATTCTTTATCATTTATAATACCTAGATTTGTTTTAAAATGCAATTTAAAGCATTTTTGGTTTTGATCATAACAGGCTTTTTTCAAAAAAAAAATATCGACTTAATATCTATATTGGCATTCTTTATCATTAATAATACCTAGATTTGTTTTAAAATGCAATTTAAAGCATTTTTGGTTTTGATCATAACAGGCTTTTTTCAAAAAAATATCGATTTAATATCTATATTAGCATTCTTTATCATTAATAATACCTAGATTTGTTTTAAAATGCAATTTACAGCATTTTTGGTTTTGATCATAGTAGGCTTTTTTCAAAAAAATATCGATTTTATATCTATATTGGCATTCTTTATCATTTATAATACCTAGATATGTTTTAAAATGCAATTTACAGCATTTTTGGTTTTGATCATAGCAGGCTTTTTTCAAAAAAATATCGATTTTATATCTATATTGGCATTCTTTATCATTTATAATACCTAGATATGTTTTAAAATGCAATTTACAGCATTTTTGGTTTCGATCATAGCAGGCTTTTTTCAAAAAAATATCGATTTTATATCTATATTAGCATTCTTTATCATTTATAATACCTAGATATGTTTTAAAATGCAATTTAAAGCATTTTTGGTTTTGATCATAGTAGGCTTTTTTCAAAAAAATATCGTTTTTATATCTTTATTGGCATTCTTTATCATTTATAATACCTAGATTTGTTTTAAAATGCAATTTAAAGCATTTTTGGTTTTGATCACAGCAGGCTTTTTTCAAAAAAATATCGATTTTATATCTATATTGGTATTCTTTATCATTTATAATACCTAGATTTGTTTTAAAATGCAATTTACAGCATTTTTGGTTTTGATCATAGCAGGCTTTTTTCAAAAAAATATCGATTTTATATCTATATTGGTATTCTTTATCATTTATAATACTTAGATTTGTTTTAAAATGCAATTTACAGCATTTTCGGTTTTGATCATAGCAGGCTGTTTTCAAAAAAATATCGTTTTTATATCTACATTAGCATTCTTTATCATTTATAATACCTAGATATGTTTTAAAATGCAATTTAAAGCATTTTTGGTTTTGATCATAGTAGGCTTTTTTCAAAAAAATATCGTTTTTATATCTTTATTGGCATTCTTTATCATTTATAATACCTAGATTTGTTTTAAAATGCAATTTAAAGCATTTTTGGTTTTGATCACAGCAGGCTTTTTTCAAAAAAATATCGATTTTATATCTATATTGGTATTCTTTATCATTTATAATACCTAGATTTGTTTTAAAATGCAATTTACAGCATTTTTGGTTTTGATCATAGCAAGCTTTTTTCAAAAAAATATCGATTTTATATCTATATTGGTATTCTTTATCATTTATAATACTTAGATTTGTTTTAAAATGCAATTTACAGCATTTTTGGTTTTGATCATAGCAGGCTTTTTTCAAAAAAATATCGATTTTATATCTATATTGGTATTCTTTATCATTTATAATACCTAGATATGTTTTAAAATGCAATTTACAGCATTTTTGGTTTTGATCATAGCAGGCTTTTTTCAAAAAAATATCGATTTTATATCTATATTGGTATTCTTTATCATTTATAATACCTAGATATGTTTTAAAATGCAATTTACAGCATTTTTGGTTTTGATCATAGTAGGCTTTTTTCAAAAAAATATCGATTTTATATCTATATTGGCATTCTTTATCATTTATAATACCTAGATTTGTTTTAAAATGCAATTTACAGCATTTTTGGTTTTGATCATAGCAGGCTTTTTTCAAAAAAATATCGTTTTTATATCTATATTGGTATTCTTTATCATTTATAATACTTAGATTTGTTTTAAAATGCAATTTACAGCATTTTTGGTTTTGATCATAGTAGGCTTTTTTCAAAAAAATATCGATTTTATATCTATATTGGCATTCTTTATCATTTATAATACCTAGATTTGTTTTAAAATGCAATTTACAGCATTTTTGGTTTTGATCATAGTAGGCTTTTTTCAAAAAAATATCGATTTTATATCTATATTGGCATTCTTTATCATTTATAATACCTAGATTTGTTTTAAAATGCAATTTACAGCATTTTTGGTTTTGATCATAGCAGGCTATTTTCAAAAAAATATCGTTTTTATATCTACATTAGCATTCTTTATCATTTATAATACCTAGATTCGTTTTAAAATGCAATTTACAGCATTTTTGGTTTTGATCATAGTAGGCTTTTTTCAAAAAAATATCGATTTTATATCTATATTGGCATTCTTTATCATTTATAATACCTAGATTTGTTTTAAAATGCAATTTACAGCATTTTTGGTTTTGATCATAGCAGGCTTTTTTCAAAAAAATATCGATTTTATATCTATATTGGCATTCTTTATCATTTATAATACCTAGATTTGTTTTAAAATGCAATTTACAGCATTTTTGGTTTTGATCATAGCAGGCTGTTTTCAAAAAAATATCGTTTTTATATCTACATTAGCATTCTTTATCATTTATAATACCTAGATTTGTTTTAAAATGCAATTTACAGCATTTTTGGTTTTGATCATAGTAGGCTTTTTTCAAAAAAATATCGATTTTATATCTATATTGGCATTCTTTATCATTTATAATACCTAGATTTGTTTTAAAATGCAATTTACAGCATTTTTGGTTTTGATCATAGCAGGCTTTTTTCAAAAAAATATCGTTTTTATATCTATATTGGTATTCTTTATCATTTATAATACTTAGATTTGTTTTAAAATGCAATTTACAGCATTTTTGGTTTTGATCATAGCAGGCTATTTTCCAAAAAATATCGTTTTTATATCTACATTAGCATTCTTCATCATTTATAATACCTAGATTTGTTTTAAAATGCAATTTACAGCATTTTTGGTTTTGATCATAGTAGGCTTTTTTCAAAAAAATATCGATTTTATATCTATATTGGCATTCTTTATCATTTATAATACCTAGATATGTTTTAAAATGCAATTTACAGCATTTTTGGTTTTGATCATAGCAGGCTTTTTTCAAAAAAATATCGATTTTATATCTATATTGGTATTCTTTATCATTTATAATACCTAGATATGTTTTAAAATGCAATTTAAAGCATTTTTGGTTTTGATCATAGTAGGCTTTTTTCAAAAAAATATCGTTTTTATATCTTTATTGGCATTCTTTATCATTTATAATACCTAGATTTGTTTTAAAATGCAATTTAAAGCATTTTTGGTTTCGATCATAGCAGGCTTTTTTAAAAAAAATATCGATTTTATATCTATATTAGCATTCTTTATCATTTATAATACCTAGATATGTTTTAAAATGCAATTTACAGCATTTTTGGTTTTGATCATAGCAGGCTTTTTTCAAAAAAATATTGTTTTTATATCTACATTAGCATTCTTTATCATTTATAATACCTAGATATGTTTTAAAATGCAATTTAAAGCATTTTTGGTTTCGATCATAGCAGGCTATTTTCAAAAAAATATCGTTTTTATGTCTACATTAACATTCTTTATCATTTATAATACCTAGATTTGTTTTAAAATGCGATTTAAAGCATTTTTGGTTTCGATCATAGTAGGCTATTTTCAAAAAAATATCGATTTTATATCTATATTGGCATTCTTTATCATTTATAATACCTAGATTTGTTTTAAAATGCAATTTAAAGCATTTTGGTTTTGATCATAGTAGGCTTTTTTCAAAAAAATATCGATTTTATATCTATATTGGCATTCTTTATCATTTATAATACCTAGATTTGTTTTAAAATGCAATTTAAAGCATTTTTGGTTTTGATCATAGCAGGCTTTTTTCAAAATAATATTGTTTTTATATCTACATTAGCATTCTTTATCATTTATAATACCTAGATATGTTTTAAAATGCAATTTAAAGCATTTTTGGTTTTGATCATAGTAGGCTTTTTTCAAAAAACTATCGATTTTATATCTACATTAGCATTCTTTATCATTTATAATACCTAGTTTTAAAATGTAATTAAATACAAGATACAATTAATTATTTCTGATTGAATTTGTAATACCGCTGGAAATTTTCTTTTATAGAGTGAATAAACGTATACTTTAATTAACGAAACAAATTGAAGTTTATCCATTTTTTTCTTGTAAAATCAAGTTTAAAACTAAAATAAATTTATTAAGGAATTTCATTGTTATTTACAAAATTTGATTGCTGAATTGAATCACTGACTATTATTACAAATAAAAGCCAAATTCAATTATCAGGTCAATGAGTGCTATTAACGATGAAAACCCTAATGCGGAAGCCTGGAATGATGAAGCTAAAGCAGCTTTCTTGGCCTTCAAAAAGAAGAAGAGAAATCTTCCGTCACCTGGTGACGTTGACAGTAATCTTAATGTAATGAAAAAGCCCAGAAAACTAGACTTCAGCCATAATAGATTCAGTAACAGAGTAGCTAATCGATATCGAACAGTGGATCAAAATCGTGCATTGGGAAGTGAGCATAATGATCCATTTGTAACCAATAATAACATCAGAAGCTCAACAATGTCTGAAAATTTTGTCAGTATGGATGTAAGTGAACTAGAATCTGACAAAACTGAAGTCCCTTGTGATGAAATTAATAAGAACATTGCGTCCTTACGTGAGATGATAGCTAATAAGGAAGATCCTTACGTAGTTCTTGAGAAAATTGTTCAGCAAATGGCTGATTCGCATAAAAATTATAATGAGAAAATTACAAAAGTTACTGGTGATTGTATTAGACTTGCAGCACGTCAAAATGAACAATTAGTTTCTGCAGAGAATCGAATTATGCAGGAAATATCCAAAGTCCATCAAAGAAGCGAGGACAGGCTTAATGCAATTGAGTTCACTCAAAAATGTGCGGTTGAAACTAATATCGTTTGGTTAAGTTTCGCTGATTCAAATGAAATTGACTCACTAAGAATCAAAACCAAGTCTGAACTAATACGCGAAGCTGTTAAAATACTCACGAGAATGAATATTTGGAATAACGGAAGCAACAGGACGATAGTTGATGTCTTTACACAAAAAATCTCTTTAAGAACTGACAGTGGCTTTGAGAATGAAATGATTATGGGAATAAAATTTCTAAATTCCTTTGCAGCTCGTGACATTAAACGACTTGCCGTCCAATATGCGAAAACACAATTCATCTCTAAGAATTTCGATGCGATTCGATATATAATTAGAGATAACTGGAGTTCTGAGGTATGGAAATTACTTCGAGTTTGTTACGATCTATCGCGCATTAAACTGATTGACAAAGCTTCAGTATGTGATGCAGGAATACAGGTATTTTACAAAAAAAAAATAATAATTGATCAAAATGGTGCTGAGGAAGAGAGAAATTTTAAGACATTGATTAGAACTGAAGGCGATCTGGATGAACTGAGAGTTGATGTCAATGACATTGGTCTAAATATTCCAACATTCCAATTGTATGATGGAAATTATTTTAAAATGCATTATGATGAAAGAAACTCGTACAGAAGTTCTATCAAATCACCAACTGACAATAATGCAAACGATCCTTTGACACAAGATGGGGCTACTAGCTCTGCATATTGACAATCAACGTCGTCCACTCAGAAATCCCAGTCTACCGCATCAAATAATATCTCAAACAGCAGCAACATGAACATTAATGTAAGCAAGCATTCTAAAAATACAATAATTAATAAATCAATCTTGGAAAATTATTCGAATAACTTGTTTACAAATATTCAAAAAGATTCATTAAATTCAAATTTTACTCACCTACAAATTAACAAAATAATCCAAGACTGCGCTCAAATGAATCCCAAAGATAAACCTCTGCTGAATATGCTATCATGGAATGTTCGATGCTTGACACACAATAAATTAAATATTATAAAACATTATCTGGATGAGTGGACGAGAACAGCGGTATCTGAAAATGATAATCTAATTAATTGCCTTGGAGAAAAAAAGAATTACTTTATAGATATAATTGGACTTACAGAAACATGGCTACAAGATGAAACCAAATTTAACACGTACAACATTAAAAATTATAATGCAGTTCATGCAAATAGAAAAATGGGAAAGAAAGGTGGTGGACTCTTGCTGTTTGTTCATAAAAAATATCAATCAGTTATAGTTGAGAGCGGCGTAAATGATGACATTGAATTTATTCTTTTGAAGCTGTTCACCTTAAACAATGAGTTCCATATTTTACTTTTGTATCGCCCAAATGGAAGTCTTGATGCATTTTTAGACTCATTGGAAGAGCTTATTCTAAAAACATGCAGAGAGAACCTAATTATAATAGGTGACATGAATCTTAACATCCTAAATAAATGTGACACTCGAGTCAAAACATACACTGATACACTGGAATCATTAAATCTCTCCATTATTAACTCAGCTCCGACTAGAAACAGCTTCTTTGGTGCTGAAGGAACTCTAATTGATCATGCAATATTAAGCACGTCGCACAAAAATATCCTTGCATTAACATCAAAAAGGATTCAAATGGTATCAGACCATAATTTCTTAATGTTGTTGCTACAGCTGGATGACACATCACCTAAAAAGAGAAAAAGATTAAAAAAGAAGACGTTAGATTATGATATGCTTATATCCAAATTTCAACACAACTTATCTTGTCATGAAATCAATCCTGAAGATGTCAACTCCTACTTTAATGTTGTGCATGATAATTTGATTAAAGCCATTGATGATTCTACTTCCATCAACAATATTAAGCTACCATCGCAAATAAATTCTCTTCCTGTTTGGGCTGATGATCGTTATAAAGAAATGCTTCGTACGCTTCATAATCTAGAAGAAAAAATAGACATAAGGAAAAGTATGAGTTTACCTCGTAGTAATCTAGTGAAAAAATATAATGAACTAAATGATATTTTTGAACAGTATGGAAATGTAAAAGCCAAATCTTATTATCGGAAGCTGCGACTTAAAAATATTAGCCATGCGTGGAAGATAATTAATGACTTGACTGGCAGATCTAAAAGAAATAAAGTAATGATAGTAAGAGATGATGAGGATAAACATCTTTCAGATCCAGTTGAAATTGCCAATGCATTTCAAAAGAAATTCACAGGCCCTAGCAGAACAGGACGTTCTTCAATAGTCTCCCATAAATACATTGGAAAATCAATAGACAAAACATTTTGCTTTGAGGAAATCTCTCCAGACACAATCGCACACCATATTGCCCTCCTAAACGAAAACAAGTCTTGTGGATATGACGGAATAAGTGCTAAAACTTTAAAATGCTGCATGGACGAAATTTCGCCTCATTTAGCAAACATATTCAATTTGATGGTTACCTCAGGAACTTATCCAGAAAGACTAAAGCAATCGTCTGTAACTCCAATACATAAAGGTGGCGATCCACTTGACTGCATCAATTACAGACCTATCAGTCTCCTTCCTCTCATAGACAAGATCTTTGAAGCGATTCTATACAATCAACTAACTAGATACCTAGAGAGTCGTAGAATATTCGATCCTCTACAATACGGCTTCAGGCAGGGTCGAGGATGTAACGAGGCAGTATGTATGATGTTGAGTCATATTAGTAATATAATAGAGAGTGGAAAAAATGCTTTGGTGATATCGCTAGATATATCCAAAGCCTTCGATTCAGTTGATCATAGAATATTGCTGAGGAAACTAAATTTTCTGGGGATAAGAGGTCTATCATACGATGTGATTTGCAGCTTTTTAACAAATAGAAAGCAAAGTGTAAAAATTGACCAGTCATTCAGCTCACCCGCAATTGTAGACCTTGGAGTTCCTCAAGGATCGAATTTAGGACCTCTTTTATTCAATCTAATGATAAATGATATTTCTGGCCTTACTATGAACTCGAAATTACTAAAATATGCCGACGACATAATAATGATCCTGACACTTGAAAAAGATAATCCTCAACTCAATGCTAATAACTTACAGTCAGATCTTGAGACAATTATGGAATATTATGAGTCGAATTTACTCAAAGTGAATCTTGTCAAGTCGAAATACATGGTTACTGGCAACATCAAATTTGATGAACTGAATGACTTACTGAGTGGAAACTTAATAAAACAATGTAATGAACTCACATACCTGGGATGCATAATTGATGCGGATTTAAAATTTATAGATCAAGTCGATAAGATCTCGAAGTCAATTGGTTCAGCTGTCAATGCTCTACGATATCTCAAAACTGTCTTGTCACAAGATGCTCTAATTCAATTTTTCCACGCTCATATTCAGTCACATATCAACTTTACTGGATTTACCTTGTTGCACTGCAGATCTATCGACATTCAACGTCTACAACGACTACAAAACAAAGCATTAAAAATTATTTTTGGATTACTGGACACTTACCCAACAACAGAATTGTTTAGCAAGGAAGCAAAGAATATATTACCGATTACTGGATTAATTTTTAACTCTGCCATTATTATGGTTAGAAAGTGTGTGACATCCAACGATGGTTCTCTGCCAAAAATAAAAAGGCTTAGGAGCTTAAGGAAGCAGGATCTGTTGTTGGTCAGTGCTAAAAAGAAAGCTTTAAAGGACGATATAACTTTCACTGGAAGTAAATTGTACAATCAATTACCCGCCGAAATTAAAGCTGTGAATAACCTTTTCTTGTTTAAAAAGGACGTCAAACGGTTCCTGCTCAGTCGCAATCAGTCACTTGTAAAGTCTGGCCAGTTTACTTCCAAAAACTTCTTTATTTAATTCGTACAATTAATTCTCACAATAATTCAGTTTGTTTACAAATATTAAAAGTCTCCAAAAAAGTCTACAATCATAGTTTCTAGCCCTGTCTGGCGATTTTAACCTCCTTCTGCATCATCTAAATTAAAAATCAACAAACACAGCGAAATATTAAATTAAATTATTGTTAACAATGAATTCAGAGAGTTCTGATGAGGATGTACTCCAGCTTTTCCCTGATAAGGATGAAGTTATGGATGGACAAATAGATCATAAAAATTTTAATAGTGAGTCATTATTTCTGAAATATTTCAGCAAAAATCAGGTTTTGATTGAAAAACAAATGAATGAAATCCATAAATTATTAGTGGATAATCGCGTAGAAATTAAAGGCTTTTATTTTAAAGATTTGTTCTCGGTGCTTATCGAAGTCCACCTGACTGATTCTGTAAAGAATTGGATCTTTGGGCTGATCGAAGTGCGAAGCAACATCCGAACCTTAAGTGAAAAAGCAAAAATGAATTACTTAAATTCTGTGTTTGGGAAGTTCAGCTTGGTGCTCAATAGTGAAATTATTTATTTGAATGTCATCCCGAACATTAGTGAACATTTGGTTGACTGTAGAACTTCTTACTTTCCACATGGAATGTGCAACGGCAATATAATCAATATTACAGCCAAAAAAAATATTCGTGATAATGCTGATCAATTTATTACGAGCGTTTTGACCAAAAAAGATAATGATATCTATTTCTCAAAAATATTCGGAGTTAGACTGGAATTTTCTGCTACTGATTCCTCTGCGCGTTTCTTGATTAAGACAAAGGATGTCAATAATAATCTGCTAAAGTCTTTACATGCTGCATTTGGTGCACTTACTTTCTGCGTGTCGACGCTTCACTTCGTTCCAATCAACCAGAAGGATAAATTAGCAACAATTATCGGTAGTGCACCTAATGATAAAAAGTTCTGGTCAGAATTATCAGAGATCGATATTGTTCTGTGTTCTGAGAGCGAACAAGCAATGGCCATGCAAAGGAACTCTTCTATAAAAAATATAAAAAATACAACACTTCCCTCAAAAAACTATATCGACTCAGTTCCTTTATCAGCTGCAAAAAGCTCGTCAATTTTTGACCGATTAGGACCTAATCTCGTGATTCACAGATCATTCAAATCTCAGACAAAGAGACTAAAAAGAATTTCTTCACAAGCATCACGCTCAGCCAACTAATTACCACTAAGGATTTATATATACCTGATTTTTTTTTTTTTCACTCTCTCACAATGTCTTAATTATCACCTGGTTTTTTTTTTTTTCTTACTTGGGATTCTTTTATCCCACACATATTGAATTGTAAAATGAATTTTTTTTTTGTTTTTTTTTTATATCTATTATATTATCATTTTGGAATGTCTATAATTTTAAACAACCGCTATGGTTTCAATAAAGTGAAATTGAAATTGAATTGAAAATATTGTTTTTATATCTACATTAGCATTCTTTATCATCAAGATATATAGATGAGCTCATACAGAGTACACTTGACCATACTCGACCATACTATTTTTTGTATGCTAATACAAACAAAAAAATTTTTAAATTTATGATTTTCAATTTTTCATTTAAATACCGATAAATGCATAACTATTCGACTTTAGTCAGTTACTTTAATTAATAGTAAAGCATTTGCAATATTCCTGTACCAACAAAACATAACAGAAAGTAGAAAATTTTGCAAAACAAATATTGAAAATTTTCTTTCATAGTGTTAGTGTTTACAGAAAATTCAAAATTTTGTCCGTTAAAAACAGTGATATTTTTGTATGAGCTTATCTATATATCTTGTTTATCATTTATAATACCTAGTTTTAAAATGCAATTTAAAGCATTTTTGGTTTTGATCATAGCAGGCTTTTTTCAAAATAATATTGTTTTTATATCTACATTAGCATTCTTTATCATTTATAATACCTAGATATGTTTTAAAATGCAATTTAAAGCATTTTTGGTTTTGATCATAGTAGGCTTTTTTCAAAAAACTATCGATTTTATATCTACATTAGCATTCTTTATCATTTATAATACCTAGTTTTAAAATGCAATTTAAAGCATTTTTGGTTTTGATCATAGCAGGCTTTTTTCAAAAAAATATTGTTTTTATATCTACATTAGCATTCTTTATCATCAAGATATATAGATGAGCTCATACAGAGTACACTTGACCATACTCGACCATACTATTTTTTGTATGCTAATACAAACAAAAAAATTTTTAAATTTATGATTTTCAATTTTTCATTTAAATACCGATAAATGCATAACTATTCGACTTTAGTCAGTTACTTTAATTAATAGTAAAGCATTTGCAATATTCCTGTACCAACAAAACATAACAGAAAGTAGAAAATTTTGCAAAACAAATATTGAAAATTTTCTTTCATAGTGTTAGTGTTTACAGAAAATTCAAAATTTTGTCCGTTAAAAACAGTGATATTTTTGTATGAGCTTATCTATATATCTTGTTTATCATTTATAATACCTAGTTTTAAAATGCAATTTAAAGCATTTTTGGTTTTGATCATAGCAGGCTTTTTTCAAAAAAATATTGTTTTTATATCTACATTAGCATTCTTTATCATTCATAATACCTAGATATGTTTTAAAATGCAATTTAAAGCATTTTTGGTTTTGATCATAGTAGGCTTTTTTCAAAAAAATATTGTTTTTATATCTACATTAGCATTCTTTATCATTTATAATACCTAGATATGTTTTAAAATGCAATTTAAAGCATTTCTGGTTTCGATCAAAGTAGGCTTTTTTTTAAAAAAATAACGATTTTATATCTATATTAGCATTCTTTATCATTTATAATACCTAGATATGTTTTAAAAGTCAATTTAAAGCATTTCTGGTTTCGATCAAAGTAGGCTATTTTCAAAATAATATCGTTTTTATATCTATATTAGCATTCTTTATCATTTATAATACCTAGATATGTTTTAAAATGCAATTTAAAGCATTTCTGGTTTCGATCAAAGTAGGCTATTTTCAAAATAATATCGATTTAATATCTATTGGCATTCTTTTTCATTTATAATACCTAGATATGTTTTAAAATGCAATTTAAAACATTTTTGGTTTTGATCATTGCAGGCTTTTTTCAAAAAAATATCGATTTTATATCTATTGGCATTCTTTTTCATTTATAATACCTAGATATGTTTTAAAATGCAATTTAAAGCATTTTTGGTTTTGATCATAGCAGACTTTTTTCAAAAAAATATCGATTTAATATCTATATTAGCATTCTTAATTATTATTAATACCTAGAAATGTTTTAAAATGCAATTTAAAGCATTTTTGGTTTCGATCATAGTAGGCTATTTTCAAAAAAATATCGATTTTATATCTTTATTGGCATTCTTTATCATTTATAATACCTAGATTTGTTTTAAAATGCAATTTAAAACATTTTTGGTTTTGATCATTGCAGGCTTTTTTCAAAAAAATATCGATTTTATATCTATTGGCATTCTTTTTCATTTATAATACCTAGATATGTTTTAAAATGCAATTTAAAGCATTTTTGGTTTTGATCATAGCAGACTTTTTTCAAAAAAATATCGATTTAATATCTATATTAGCATTCTTAATTATTATTAATACCTAGAAATGTTTTAAAATGCAATTTAAAGCATTTTTGGTTTCGATCATAGTAGGCTATTTTCAAAAAAATATCGATTTTATATCTTTATTGGCATTCTTTATCATTTATTAATACCTAGATATAATTTAAAATGCAATTTAAAGCATTTTTGGTTTTGATCATAGCAGGCTATTTTCAAAAAAATATCGATTTAATATCTATATTAGCATTCTTAATTATTATTAATACCTAGAAATGTTTTAAAATGCAATTTAAAGCATTTTTGGTTTTGATCATAGCAGGCTTTTTTCAAAAAAATATCGATTTAATATCTATATTAGCATTCTTAATTATTATTAATACCTAGAAATGTTTTAAAATGCAATTTAAAGCATTTTTGGTTTTGATCATAGCAGGCTTTTTTCAAAAAAATATCGATTTAATATCTATATTAGCATTCTTAATTATTATTAATACCTAGAAATGTTTTAAAATGCAATTTAAAGCATTTTTGGTTTTGATCATAGCAGGCTTTTTTCAAAAAAATATCGATTTAATATCTATATTAGCATTCTTAATTATTATTAATACCTAGAAATGTTTTAAAATGCAATTTAAAGCATTTTTGGTTTTGATCATAGCAGGCTTTTTTCAAAAAAATATCGATTTAATATCTATATTAGCATTCTTAATTATTATTAATACCTAGAAATGTTTTAAAATGCAATTTAAAGCATTTCTGGTTTCGATCAAAGTAGGCTATTTTCAAAATAATATCGTTTTTATATCTATATTAGCATTCTTTATAATTTATAATACCTAGATATGTTTTAAAATGCAATTTAAAGCATTTCTGGTTTCGATCAAAGTAGGCTTTTTTTTAAAAAATAACGATTTTATATCTATATTAGCATTCTTTATCATTTATAATACCTAGATATGTTTTAAAATGCAATTTAAAGCATTTTTGGTTTTGAATATAGCAGGCTTTTTTCAAAAAAATATCGATTTAATATCTATATTAGCATTCTTAATTATTATTAATACCTAGAAATTTTTTAAAATGCAATTTAAAGCATTTTTGGTTTCGATCATAGTAGGCTATTTTCAAAAAAATATCGATTTTATATCTTTATTGGCATTCTTTATCATTTATTAATACCTAGATATAATTTAAAATGCAATTTAAAGCATTTTTGGTTTTGATCATAGCAGGCTATTTTCAAAAAAATATCGATTTTATATCTATATTAGCATTCTTTATCATTTATAATACCTAGATATGTTTTAAAATGCAATTTAAAGCATTTTTGGTTTTGATCATAGCAGGCTTTTTTCAAAAAAATATCGATTTAATATCTATATTAGCATTCTTAATTATTATTAATACCTAGAAATGTTTTAAAATGCAATTTAAAGCATTTTTGGTTTCGATCATAGTAGGCTATTTTCAAAAAAATATCGATTTTATATCTTTATTGGCATTCTTTATCATTTATTAATACCTAGATATAATTTAAAATGCAATTTAAAGCATTTTTGGTTTTGATCATAGCAGGCTATTTTCAAAAAAATATCGTTTTTATGTCTACATTAACATTCTTTATCATTTATAATACCTAGATTTGTTTTAAAATGCAATTTAAAGCATTTTTGGTTTCGATCATAGCAGGCTATTTTCAAAAAACTATCGATTTTATATCTACATTAGCATTCTTTATCATTTATAATACCTAGATATGTTTTAAAATGCAATTTAAAGCATTTCTGGTTTCGATCAAAGTAGGCTTTTTTTTAAAAAAAATAACGATTTTATATCTATATTAGCATTCTTTATCATTTATAATACTTAGATAAATAATCATCCTTGAATCGAATTTTCTCTTAATTAGGGAACTTTGCAGTGCTTTGCAGCTGCAATTGTTGCAAAAACTTATGCATCTTATCATGCCTTAATTAATGAAATATTTGGATTTTTGTCAGCATATTACACAATGCTTAATTCTGATTTTGAAAGCAGAAATTTACTACTTTAAAGACATCTAGACAACAATTAATGGTTGCTATGCTGTTCATTCTTTCTTATTTAATGAATCTGCATACCTAAATTAACTTTAAATGCACTCATTAGGCAGAACTATTGTATCGGGTAGAAACCCAATGCGGCCATATTCACACCGTACCATCAAAAGTCTTATGGATAGTCCAACATTTGCTTAGCATAAGTTTGAAGTTATAAAGCTAGCGAGTAAGCTGAGCTTCGCTTAGCATTATTTTCAATGCGTAAAGCTAGCGAGTCAGCGGAGCTTCGCTCAAAATATGTTTGAAGGTTTAAAGCTCAACGAACATTCTTTAAATGTTTTTTAAAAAAAAATTTCATACAAAGTTGAATTTTATAAAAATCACAGTCAACTTTTGTTTTAAAAAATTCGTAAGAAGGGAAAGTTTTTTGCTTATTCTGAAGCAACGGCTGTTTTTACCTTGCCCAAAAATAATACAGCTCATCTATAGAGCAGCACGGATCAAATGTAAAAAACTAGAAGTCTCTACGATGCCTCGTTATTGAGATTTCTTGCTGATTAACTTGCATGCTTGCTTGTTTGCTTACAGAAAGCGTATTTTGCGATTTTCTCAGCAATGCCGCAACCAATTTGAAATCTGGTTGTTGAAAATGACACGTGAAAACGGTGTGAATATGAAAATGAATAATTTTATTGCATTTCATGTAATATACCAACGCTTAAGCCAAATCCGTGAGAAAATGAATTTTTAAAAAAAGCAACTTTTACTTTATTTAACAATAATTTCTTTGATTAGAATGTTGTTTGCAAAAGTTCAATAGTCAATGAAGATCTTCAACTCGTTATAAAAAGTGTAAGCTTAGTATATTTTTGAAGCAATCAAATTTTTAAAGAACATGGATCAAAAATTTATTTATTTCGAAATTCAACTCATCCGTAGAATTTCTCAAAAACTTGACAATAAATCAGAAGCTGTAAAAAAGGATGCAATAGACGGTTCAATCATAAGGTCTAAACATTTTTAATGAAAACTTTTTCATTGAATTTTGTCATCTTTATGCTACCATCGAACTGGACCTGGAATAAAGTTTTGATCACAATCGGTATCTGATAATTAAATTAGGACTGGTTTCAAGAATCAAGAATCATGGCTTTAAGAACCTGAACGAACATCAGCTTTAACGGTTTGAAAAGCGTCGACTTTTTATTGAATTGCACTCAACCCCCGACATAAATTCAACGCTTTAGCAAAACAACGCTTTTCTATCGCGGGTCGAGTGTAATTTGAATTTACAAAAACTGTTTTATTTGACACACCAATACTTTGATAGAACTTTACACTCACACATACGAAGTAACAATTCGACACAAAATTTTGATCGAAATTAAAATTTCATTTAATTAATTAATTTCAATACATCCAAGAGCTTTAAAAAAAACAGAAAGTGAGTTAAGCTTACAACTATTACGTGATTATAGATACAGTTCATGTTTTGAGTATGAAAATGTAATTTTTCTTCATTTTAAAATTTCAGCAAAAAAGTGTTGAAGAAAGCATAGGAATTTCGGACGTTAATTAAGGAATAAATTAGTCAGCACAAACGAAAACCATGGACGGTGAAGAAGTAAGTAAACAAAAAATAGGAATGGTATGCAAAGAATGAAGATATAATGTCTAAAATAATATTCGGCATTTTATGAGTCATAAACAGGCATAAAATTGAAGTTGTTATGATCCATTGAGCATAAATATCTCCACATACCTATTTAAATATGTTCATTAAAACAATAAATGCATTACTCTTGATAAAAGCTCATGATAAATGGATTGTGAAAATATTAGCATATAGCATACAAAAATTATCGATCAAACTTTTTCGTTCGTTCCTTATTCGCAATTTATTTTCCGTATTCAACACCAGTTATCTCTTAAATATAATCTAGTGTTTTGGATCCACGGCTGTAACTTGAATTAAATGCTTTATGATATATTATATAGTTTTTACTTAAATTGCATGGCTTTTTTCCAACTTAAAGCTGCTTCAAGCATTCAATGCCTGAAAAATTTCAAGAGACAATTGACTATAGTTTATCAAGAAAAGGAGGAGGTGGTTTTCATTGCATGTGAAGGTTCACTAATATGATTCTGAACACCACTATTCCCTCACATTATATTTAACAGGATATATATTACTGTATAGCTTTTTTTGTAATCATTTCTTCCTCCGTAGTTTCAGTTTTGATAGAACAATTGTGGAATAAGCACTCATAATAAAACTTTGTCATGCCTCTTTTGCAGAACCAATTTATCGTTGATGATGTCTCCAAAATTATTAAGGAAGCAATAGAGAACACAATAGGTGGAAATGCTTATCAGCACGACAAAGGTAATACTTGCGTTCTTAATTTCGCAACTTTATGCAATTAATGATTACAAACTTTTCATCTTACAGTAAACTCATGGACTGGAAATATTGTCGAAAATTGTTTAAATACATTGACAAAGCAACAAAAGCCTTATAAATACATTGTTACGTGCTTAATAATGCAGAAAAATGGAGCAGGATTACATACGGCTTCTAGTTGCTTTTGGAATAATGACACAGATGGATCCTGTACAGTTAGATGGGAAAATAAGAGTATGTACGTGATAACAAGGTAATTATAAGCAGGAGCTCACTATTATCAAGGACACATGACTAATTAATTGTAATTATCTCTTATTGTTTTCAGTGTTTTTGGTCTAGCAATTTAAACAATGAGATCTAATTTTGTGGATTTATTTTTGAAGACAGTTTTAGATTTTTTGGTCTCGATAAAAGTCGTTAATTTTTTTGACAAGAAAGGCGCATTAGTCATTTCAAGAATATCTCATTCCGTTAAATCTTCTTATTCTATTGAATATATTAAAAAATTCTAATTACTCAAATTAGGTAGCTTTAAAAACTCAATAATTTGAACTGTTTTCATTTTCTATTTTATGTTTTAATTCTTCTACATTTTATTTTTCAATCACTTACTCACTTATGCATAACTAAATATTGAAATGCAAACCCAAAATTATTATTATTATAAATTCGTTTGGATCACCATATTTGCAAATGATTATTGAATTTTAGAAACTTAATAAAATTAAAGGCATTTGACTCAATGAGAATTTAATGAAACAAACTTAATGGATTAAAATGATAACATCCACAATTAATGTTGCTAACATCATTTTTTTTCTGCTGAATAAAAAATACACTTTATTTAATTAAATAAATTCAATTCTTTTTATCAAATTTCTCTCTAATAAATCTTAAATTTGCAGCAACAGACTGCTCAAGGCTCTCAGGATTACTTCTTTCCTTATATTTGGATGTTGATGGGCGTTGATCATAAACAGGTGCAAATTCATTAACCCTTTGCGTTCTCTGCTTCTCATTCCACTCATCTTGAGACATGGCAATTCGTTCCTTTTTTGGCATCCATCTCTCCTCGTCAGACTCATCGGAATGCTCTTTTCCACTCAATTTACCTTTATCCCATGGCCTATAGATAAAATAAGTTAAGTGCGAAATTAGTCAATGAAATTAAAAGATCAATGAGTTGATTATTATTGCGAGATCTAAAAGCTAATTAATCAAGTGCTAAGTAAATTTATCTTTAATTGACATCATTCAAATCCTATTGTAAATATATGATTTTTTTTATAAAACTCATCAGTTGTCTGTCATTTTAAGCACAAAGTCAAATAATCGATAAAATCTAAAGTCAAATTAGGAACTGTTTAAAGGCTTGTTCAAAAAGCAGCAGTTTTATCAATGGAAATTTTTAAATCCATCAGATATTTTCTCTCATGATTTGAGCTGTTCCTTACTAGATTCTCAGTAAGTGTTGGATAGGTCAAGATAGTCCATTTAAGCGATATGAGCTCATTACGTTTAAAAAAACCTCATTAAAACGTACCTTATATGCCGTTTCCTCTCCATTTCCCTCTGCAATTCTTTTTCGGCATCTTTTTCAGCCTGTTCACTTGCTTTCTGTCTGTCATCATTGCTCTTATCATCTGCTGCAACTTCTTAAATAAATAGAGACCTTAAATGAATAAAAAATATTTATTTAAAAACCTTGTATCACTTACTACTATCGTCATTGTCAGTTTGCTCAATGGGCAGTCCAAGTTTTTTTCTCATACGTTCTTTTGCAAGCTTAATTCGATTTTTAATGATATCATCCCGGTGCTTTTTTAACTCTGCACGTTGACTTTGCGCCTGTTCAGTTTTCTCTCGCATCTTAATGAGATTTTCTTGTTGAATTTGACGCTCTTCATGATCTTGAGAGAATTTATACCACGCTGTGCCGTGAAGTCTTGCCTCTGTCAATAGAAAAGAAAAGATTAACATGTGGACGGTAATTGGAGAGATCTAAAGGAATAAGGAGAAACGAAAAAATGAGATACAGCCAATACTTGATTCTCTTTCATACCACCGAATGTGCACAACTCTCTCACAGAAGAAAAATATCAATCAGTCAGTCAGTCAGTTGGAAGCATCACTATGAAACAGTCGCATTTTCTTTCTATTCTCATAACATTTCATTTTCATACGGAAGCTTCCATGCAATTTTTATCTGTTTTCTCTCAAAAATCTCACAGACGAAATTATTGAATTTTTGTTTTCGGTGAGGAGAAGGAATTGGGAAGTGAAAAAAAAACAATGAATCGAAGGATGGAGAATAAAATCAATGTGCATTAAATTAAAATATGTGTAATGTTTGAACAGATGATAGAATAAATTTTTATGTGATTGGTCAGTCAAACAGTCTTTTGTGCAACATGAGGAGGAAACTGAAAGTTGATAGTATTTTTTACTCTAAAATGCTGAGGCTGTTTACTGTGTATTTAGGTGAATAGACAAATAAATAAATAAACATATATGTTCCAAAAAACAAAAATCCATGAGAAACATTCAAAGGAGTTATGCAGGGTGATATAAAAATCTTTAAAGCAATAAATGCCTTTTGTGTGTTTGCGTCTGAAAGTGAGATGCTTACTCGAATGATGTAAAGTGAAACCATACTCATAACAATTAGCCAAAAACGGATGTTGGCAGAAATAAATGCGATTTAAATAAAATAAATTGATTAAATTCACTTTGGGTGGCAAATTCTGACTGGATGTCATGTTGTCAGTGTCATGACTAGAAAAAAGAACGTGTAGAAAAGGCGGTTGAGCATTCGATCTAGTCATGAAACAATTTATTATACTATAAATGAGGAAAAAAAATAATTGCTTAATTCATATTAAATTGAGTGCATTGAATTTGTGCCATCTGACTGAATTGCTAATTTTATATTTGAATTTTTAAATGCCATTTTTATTAGAACATCGATTACTAAGGTTTCTGAACTATAAGAAGAAGGCAAATTCCTGGTTTTATGAAAATAATTGTCATTAAAGGCATACGACCTTTAAACTTTTAGAAAAGCTCTCACTGTACACTAAATGGTCGCAACCAGAGGTCGAAGCCGACATGAGTTCGCTCCGGTTCGCTAAAAAACCGATTCAAATTTGAATAGAATTTTTTCTGCTGTCACTTGTGAAGTATAACATTCTATACAAATTTACCGGTTATAGGATCGGTTTTTTAGCGAACCGGAGCGAACTCATGTCGGCTTCGACCTCTGGTCGCAACACACAGTTTGAGAAGCACTGATCTAAGCTATGCAGACCATAAGATTAGCAACTGAATAATAATACAATAAATCAAGTAACATAAACAAAACTACTTTTACGACTTTTCCGGGTATTTCCCACGAATTTATTTCCTACGAAATATTAGTCACAATTGCACAATGTTCTAGACAATTAAAACTGAGAAGAAAAAAATTCACAGAAATGATTTAAAATCCATTAATTATGCAGATTATTCAGACACAAAAAAGAATTAATTAAAATGTCATCAGACATCTGCCTTTAATACTCATTCAGCATATGTTAATTTTTCACTTGTAAACTATCAAAAATGTCTCTTTTAGTCTCAAATTCAATTATTGTATAATGATTCACATCAAAAAATGTTAAATTAAATAAACATACGAATCATCTAAAATTCATCGAAAGAAGAAGACGGCGATAGATATTCGAAACACATTTCGAGACCACTCACAGCACATTAAACATTAGAAGTGCTTATTTAATTATATAGATCATTAATTCTTTTATCAGTGCATGTGTCAGTAATAATAAATTTATCGTAACTCCAAAAATGGAAACAACAAAAAAAATTCTATGAATTATCTTAATTCTTTTGTATATAAAACTATTTTCATTTTTCAATTAATGATTGATTAAGAACGCATCGCTATTGAGTTAGAAAATCAGGTTTCATTTCACATGTCGGTTCACAGTTTCATATTTTTCTCTCTATATCTATCGCAGCTAGGCTAGTGTAACGAATTGTATTTGTTTATACTCAACATCAAAGGTACAATCATTTCAGTTTTGATTTTTGATTTGGGAAATAGAGATATTTAATTTGAATATAAATTATTTTTACAAAAGCATTGAGCATGTATACGAGTTTAATTTGATTGTAATCTAATGATTATGAGTAAAAGCGCATTTCATGCGGCAACTTATGTTCTTTGACCATATTTTTGAAGAGGGATATAAATGAAGTGTTAAGTAGATTTTATGATAACATCAGTCAATATTTATGTTTGTCTTGAATTTATTAGAAGTAACGGCTTTTTAAAACATTTTGAACTAAGTCTTTAAATTCCTCTGATTCTGAGCCTAAAACTCCAAAAGATTTTGTATCTCAAAAAAAGAAAGTTTTTGGCAACTCTAATCCACAAAAGTCATAAAGGATAAAAGACATGCATTTTGAACAGATCTGGAATTTTTGGAACAAACAAAAATAGTTTCTTGATTGAGCTCTTTTGTGAATTTCAAGAAAGTTCCAACAAATATCAAAGATCTGCAAACTTGAATGACAAAGTCATGAAAAGGAAATCATTGTCGTAGACAACAAACAAAATAACTTTATTGCTGAAGAAATCAACTCTCAAACATTAATCAAATTTAAGTTGTGAAACAAACTTTTTAATGATCTACAGTCTTAATCAGTGTTTACGAAACTATATCTAGCGACAAACTAAAACTTGCTGATGTGACCAAGAGAAGTTTGGAAGATGTTGAATCAAACGGAATTAAGTATTTATAAGAAAAATATCGTTAGTAAAGTGGAAATACAAGACTTCCTTGAGAGTACTTACAACAAACGACTCAGGCATGGTATTTGAAATCTGCTCTGATGTCATTTTTATCTTAAATTCTATGTAATTCTGGGTAATTTTTGAAAGAATCGTAAACAAATGAATGCTCGTGGCTATAAAATATTTATTTTGGAGACGAAATTATTATTCTCCTGGCTATTAATGTCTATTCCTGAATGTTATTACATAAGTCTGATATTTATAAGACTAGACACATAAAACTTGTATTTCTCATAATCCTCTCAAATAATAAATAATCATAAAGATTTATATTTTTTGTCAAGTCAAAGCGAAAACACTAGAGCATTTCTTTGCAAAGGCACGTCAAATAATCATGGTAAAATATTTATCTTATAACTATGTGTATGCTATGATGATGAAAAGCATACGAGAGTGGGAAAAGAATAGTAATAAAAAGATGAAAATGCGTTAAATTTATCTTATCACTTCCCATTTAATCTTAAATTTTCATGTCTTCACTTCACGGCACTTGAAAATGAATTTTCATCTTTATAATTCCACTCACTCACTCGCGATTATTGTTATTTGAAAATCATTCATATTCATCTATATTGTGCTATATATTGAAGGAAAAAACAAAATGATGTTATGCAAAAAATCCACAAATCTGCTAAAAATAAACTTAAATGAAAATTACAGTGTTCAGCAGTTCATGTCAGAAAAAAAAACATTGAGGAATTGTAATGAAGAGACTTTCTTGCTCTCCTATTATTTATTTGCTAAGTATATTTTCCTAGTTGATATTTTTGAACAGGAAAAAGATTATTTTCATTTCTGTCTTTTATTGGAACGTATAAATAATTCGTGAAAAAAGCAAGAAAAGCTTGAAACTTGAAAGAAAATGAAGAATTTTTCCTCAGATTCATAATGACACCTAAAAATGTTTATTTTAATTTATAAATATTCACATCTCTCCTTAATTTAGTCATTCTTAAAATATCTGATTGAACATCTTTCGACTCATTGAGCAATAAATAGTGTCTTAATGACACAACAAATTTGTTGACAAAAAGATCCATTCAAGTTTCTCTTGTTACGGCCATCGACAAGTGTTTTATTATCGATTTTAATCCGATTATAATTAAAAATCATATTCCAAAATTAAATAAACGGCAAAATCTATCAATTGAGATGAAGAAAAAAACTATCCCAAAACCGGTTCCTCTAAATTTATGTTTGATTCGATCAAGGTTTGTTGATATTACCTCTGAGCATATTCATTCGTATTAGAATTTAATTTAATTTATACTTTACTTTTGGAACTCTTTGAGATTAGATGTCATGAGCGCATACTTGAGATGCAATCAAAAATCTTTAATCCCTTTGTCCGGTAATAATTCATATTTTACACTTTTGTGTTTGTATACATATGACTTAATATTATGTAGGATCAAACTTTCAATCTTCAAATCTAGGTTTCAAATAAACTAAGGCTCTCGTTTCGATCTTCTGTGGGCGTGACGTGATACTTTTCAGGTCCGTTCTAACAATATTCCATTCGTGGATAATCTTGTAGCTCTCGCTCCTTATTTCTCGCGCTACACTTCAAGGTCCTGACCCGTTCCTTAATCCAACGTTGCCCAAATGCCCAATTATGGCTTGATCTCGTACATTAAGCAGTCGAAGTATCTAAACTTCCGAAAAAATACAAATTTGGAAATGACTGGATTCAAACCGACGACCTTTGAGTTACCATCCCAAATTTGAGCCAAGCACCTAACCTAATCGACCAGCAAGGCACTTAACTGCTTTTCTCTGTAGTTTCTACACGACTTGACACTTCTTAGATAAGTCCCTTGGATTTTACTTGACTTGATTAACAGGAGAGAAAGTATGATGAATTTATTGGCGATATAAAATATCCTTGAATTTATTTTTGCCGAATAAAATGTTAATGCATTAGAATAAATAACTCATGACATTTGACGACGAGTTTTATCATTTTAAAAATATCTGAACTGTTATGCCAAAAAATAAACCTCAAGCAAAGTGAATTTGAATTAAAATCTTTCAAGTTTTAATGTTTAAAACTGCCTAGCGAGCCAGTCAGTCAAGATAAAGCTTCTATCATAAATTTTAAACTACTTTAATGCAACTAATAAGGGCTTAAAAATATAATTGATTTCTTTTCATCTTTATCAGTAATTTTCATAATGAGATGCATTGGCTCCCCGGTCCATAAATGTTATGTGTGCGGTCCCGAATCGGAACAACCGTTTATTGATGAGAAATTTTTGAATGCATCGGAGAAGATACAAAAGACTTGCGAGGGTTTCGACCAATTATTAGACCATGCGAAAGAAGCATATGCAATTGAATGTCCGAAAGGCTATCCAGGATGCATGACGAAAATTGGATGTAAGAAATAAAATGAAATTCACGTGTATAATTATTTAATCATGTTTGTTTTTTTTTTAAGTTGAAGTAACAAGAACATGTTCTGAAATATCTCTAAATGACTGTCGAGTAGTCAATGGAGAGAATGTTTGTATTTGTAATCAGGGGATGTGTAATGGAGAAAAAGCCAAAAATACTGATAATTTACACACCTTTACTGAGGATGATACAGAAGACGATTCTGACGAAAATAATCAAGAATCTGGAGATGGCGATAGTTTTGAACAAAGTTATTTCCCAACAACACAAATTATCGATGCAACCACTTCAATTGTTCATACTGCATATGATGATGAGAATGACAACGATGAGACAACTCAGAAACTTAATGAATTTGTTAAAGTATCAGTGTCAACGATGCAGCCCTCAATTAATATTGCTGTCAATTTTAATTTAAGTCAGCTAGTTTTCATATATTGTGCCATAACTTTTGCAGTATCTTATCTAAACTCGTCGTTCGTCGATTATGTAAATTAAGGATACATATTTTTTAATTGTACGTACATTCCAAGACTGATTTTGTATTATGAGATAAGAGTTTTATTATTATTATTGCCCATCCGCGTAACTTTATGTCAGATGATGAAGAAAATAACAAATGATGTTGACTGAGATGCGACATTTACACTACCTTTCCTTTATGTCACGAAAAAATAGTGCTTTAAAATTTTATTAAGGTCCTAAAAGGATGTCCAGTACGTCTTTGAAAGACACTGTAAGTGACTTTAATGAAATGATGTCCTGTGTCATGAAGATTTTATGAAAGATAGTGTTTATTAAAAATCACGTAGACGTCATTTGTGAATGGCATCAAAGATTTGATGAGTAGAGAAGTCAATAATTAAGAGAGAAATTTACATGCAATTTCTTTAGTTGAACAAATTAAAAATTTTATAATTCAGGAACGAGAGAAAAAAGTTAAATTGATTAATGTTTTCAACTCCCACAAATTATTTTATTATCGCCGTGCGATTTAAAATCAAGTTTTCTGAATAATTTTTTGTTTTATTTTATTTGCTTTTCGTCCGAATAGAATGCAGGTTTCTAATTTATGCCCTGCTATATTTTTCTTCTTTTACGTTACAACATGTTTTAGTCATGTATCGATGTATTTTTTATTCATTTATTAAATGTTATCACCTACGACTCGTAAAATTTCAACGATTTCCTATGTAGATTTTTCGTTATATAAAAATCTGATTTTGGTACATTCCGCTTAAAATTCTTATCAGCATGATAATGTGCATATTGACAAACGAAATACTAAATGTAATAATTTTTAGCTATCACACCTATTAAATTATAATAGCTCAAGTGGGCTCATAAATTTATTTGATATGATATTGCAGACAGCACAAGAAATAGATAACAATATACGAAATTTCATGCTGCAAAAATTAAGTTCCTTAAATGGAAAAACTCGATGTGTCCAATTTTGATAACTAGATACTAATAATTATTAATCAGTGTAGGAACACTTAGAAGACAAATATATTTGATGCCAAAGAAATGTATGCATTTTAAAGAATAATAAGTTTGAATTGATCTAATTTTGCCTTTTGTGATTCGATTGAATGAGAGATTTTACTATAAATTGTTATTTTATTTGTATGATTGGCTCAAATGATTGATTCAGTTAGTTTCGTAGTGCGCTTTTAAGATTTTTAATAAAACGAAATATTAGTGTAATCGATAGAATAGTAAGTATCACAAACATACAAAAATATGCCATTTTATACTTTCATAATTAATTAAAGGAAATAAAGATACGTAAATAAATCTGGATGTGAACAAAAAAATATGAATGCATAGATTGTTTTTTTTCTTTTTGAGCATGCAATTACCGCAAAGCTAATTAGTGATGTGAAATTACTCACCATCAAACAAAATATCTTGGTAATGGAGTTCGCTGCGTTCTTTATTGACGATTTCTTGCTTCCTCCACTCTTCTCGTTGTTTTAAAAAGCTGTCGCCAATTTCTTCTACATCATTTTGTTCCACTTCTTTTGGTTCCTCGATAATTTCATCTCTTTCATCACGGATTTTGTCATATTCACTCTTTTCAACCTTCCGTGTTCGCCCAAAACAATCTGTGAATTCAATACTGAAGCAATAATAAGCACATTACTTAAATGGATTAATGAATTTAATTATAGAATGACTCACTAATCTGTTACATCTCGAATGTCATCATCTTTTTTGTTCTCAAATAGTACCAAAGTTGAGTTGACTTTATTTTTTGACATCCGCTCATAATACTTTGCCTTCTGTTCCAAAATCCTCTTTGATCTTGCTAATTCGATGCTGTCATCAACTTCTATGGTTTTTAAATTATTTACAGGTGATGACGAAATAATTTTGGTGTTATTTATTTTCTTAATTGGATTATGATCTCTGATCTTTAGTTCTTCTGATTTTTTCAGCCTGTACAGTTCAGCCCTTAATGTAACGATGGTTGATTTATCCATCTCTATCACCTTTTTTGGATCACTCATTATGTTCACAATTCTTTTAATAAAATTTATTTCAATTTTTGATTTTTTTTTCAAATGTTATTTTGTTTACTTTTTTTTCTACGCTTTTATTTCACTTCCTTAAAAACTTAAATATTTGGTTCGTACAGAGTTTTATTTTCTCGTTACGTTGACTATTGCTTTTTTTTTAAACTGCCACCATATATTTGAACAACCAATACCGATTCAAATTTAAATTCCTTAAGTTTGTTTGATATAACCGATTTGCTCCTCACATGCTGCTAAAGTTTAGGTGAACTAGAAGAAATGCTAATTGCAGAGAGAAGCTTTTCACCTGAGGATATTGTTATATAATTAACGCCGATACATTATTGTTATTAATTGAATCTGCTTATTTGATTAATTAGTACAGATATTTTTTTATTTATAAAGAAATATGATACAGAAGAGATTCCCAATATAATTTATTGATGACTATTTTATGTAACTTTCTCAAGCATTTCGAAGGATGATGCTATTATTTGTTAAATATCGTTTTGTTAAGGAAACTAGTGTATCGGGTAGAAACCCAATGCGGATTATATTCACACCGTACTATCATAAGTCTTATGGATAGACCAAGATTTGCCCATCATAAGTATGAAGGTATGAAGCTTGATAAGTCAACTAAGCTTCGCTCAGCATAAGTTTAAAGCTATAAAGCTATCGCATAAGCTGAGCTACGCTCAGCATAAGTTTGAAGATATGAAGCTAGAGAGGCAGCTGAGCTTCGCTTAGCATAAGTTTGAAGTTATAAAGCTATCGCGTAAGCTGAGCTACGCTCAGCATAAGTTTGAAGATATGAAGCTAGAGAGGCAGCTGAGCTTCGCTCAGCATAAGTTTGAAGTTATAAAGCTATCGCGTAAGCTGAGCTACGCTCAGCATAAGTTTGAAGATACAAAGCTAGAGTGTCAGCTGAGCTACGCTCAGCATAAGTTTGAAGATATGAAGCTAGAGAGGCAGCTGAGCTTCGCTCAGCATAAGTTTGAAGTTATAAAGCTATTGCGTAAGCTGAGCTACGCTCAGCATAAGTTTGAAGATATAAAGCTAGAGTGTCAGCTGAGCTACGCTCAGCATAAGTTTGAAGATATAAAGCTATCGAGTCAGCTGAGCTACGCTCAACATAAGTTTGAAGGTATAAAGCTTGACGAATATGCCAAATATTCTTTAAAAGTTTTTTAAAAAAAATTTTCATCCAAAGTTGAATTTTATAAAAATCACAGTCAACTTTTGTTTTAAAAAATTCGTAAGAAAGGAAAGTTTTTTGCCATTTCTGAAGCAACGGCTGTTCCTACCTTGCCCAAAAACAATACAGCTCTTCTATAGAGCAGCACGGATCAAATGTAAAAAACTAGAAGTCTCTACGATGTCTCGTTATTGAGATTTCTTGCTGATTAACTTGCTTGCTTGCTTGTTTGCTTACAGAAAGCGTATTTTGCGATTTTCTCAACAATGCCACAACCAATTTGAAATCTGTTTTTTGAAAATGATGTAAAATTTTAGGCACAAACTTTTCTTCTTGACCTTTTATAACCAATTTTGCTTTGTTTTCTCACAAAATGCGAAAAACTGATTTTTCAATCTGAACAAAACCAATAGATTCACACGTGAAAACGGTGTGAATATAAAAAAATATAAAATTATTAATGACATGGATGTAAAGTTCTTTAACAAATTATCACGGGTATCGGAAAAAGTAAATGAGAAATTAATTAATTTGAAGCATATGCTCTTTTCCAAACTATCGGAATCCTTGCGTAAATGTGTATCTGAGTGATTAATTGTTATGGAAAATCCTTCACACAGAATGGAAAGTATTTTGTAAATTAAACGTAACACAACAAATTATTTCCTTTCTTAATTCTTTTTTGTTGAAAAAAAAAGGAAAAAAATAACATCTATTGACAGGCTTCGACAGTTTTCGTTTTTTTGTTGTTGTGCATTATACATGTTTAGAAATATGATACTTTTAACGTTTCAATGATTTTTTTTTGTGAATATACAAACTCCTTTCATAGATTTAATTTGATTTAAATTTGAACAGAATTAGACATGCATTAATGTATTTCTTACAATTAAAATTAAAGCTATTCAATGTCAAGACGGAAAAATTATGTTGAGAGTTTTTCTTTTCATGTAAATTTCCCAATGACTTCCAATAAGAAGGAGAAGAAAAGCAAACAACAAATGAAAATTAATCAGCTGTTTTATGATGAAGCCGTACTTAATGTGTATTTGAATAATAATGGTAATAGGTAGGTATTTATTTACATTTTACTTTTATTTTAAAATAAAATAAAATTAAAGCAGAGTTGTCAGAGAGGTACCCGAAACACGATTGTATTAAAAGCTGCTTTGCAGATTTCGGACATTTTTGACTTTTTTTGTCACATGACTAGACCACTTTGTTCAAACCACATTTGAGATCTGCGAGACAAAAAACACAATTTTTTCGAACGTTAAATTTCCACGCATTAATGCATCAAAAATAATGGTCGACAGCAATGCCATCAAGAGATTTTTGTCTTTAATATACAATCAAAAGGTTTCAACTCTGAACTGAAGTAAGTAGTAAAACAGCAGAATAAATAGAAACATTTAAGTATCATAGAATATTGTGTTAACATATATGTTAATGCTATGCATGCGCTTGCTGTGTTAGATTTATGATATGAAAACCATTACCCTTTTGGATTATCCCCTTTTAATGAGGTGATAAATTTTATACGTTTTAAAATGCTTTCGAGAAATTACTTCTAGACCACAAGTTATTAATAATTCAACTAATCTGTCGCACAATATGTTCTCCATAAGTAAGATTTTTAATATAAATGCACACTAAATAGTTTAGTACCTAATATTTGAACAAAATTTATGTCTTTTGTTGAAATTACCGTAATTAAAGTGACATTTTAAAATTTTATTTTTAAAGGATATCTTGCATATGGCATGAATGCCTTAACCTTTTCTCAAATTGATGTTTCAAATAACAAAACAAAAAGTCCCACTACAGATGATGACATGAAAGAATAAACAGCACAAGTCTGGCACGTGTTTTTATCGATTCCGTTGTTACGGAACATGATCAATCATTTCTGAGCATAAAACATGTAAAAATGATACATTTGTCATTTTTAACTCTTTCATATAAGCCTTTTTATGTATCTTTCTTTCTTTCTCTTGAAATGCTTTAGTTCCAATGGATAACATAAATTTTAAAACAAATGAAAATAAAAATGCTCATATGAATGTATGAAAAAGACCAAATCGCTTTCAAATACCTAACAACCTCTTGTAGATAATAAAATGTGATTATAATAAATCTCGGAAATTGTTGAAAGAGATGAAAAATGAAACCAAATGAGTAAGGAAAAACAAATATTTTCAGTTCTGATCTTAATTTTGCAGCACTTAAGAAGATCATTAATAAAAATTATAAACCGATGACATAAGTGTAAATATTTTAATTGTTTCACTTTATTATAGGATGCATGATCAAAATGGAATATGGAAAAATTCTTTATTCTCCATAGGAGGTAAATTCTATGCCTATAAACAAATAATCTTTATCATATAAAATCCATATGAATGAGAATAAATGCGCTCTTTTGATCAAACACTTACTGACAATTTATCTCGGCTCCGAGGATCAAAATCGATAATTTATTTTGAATTTGGATATCTCTATAATTTAAAGATACAGAACGCCTTTCATTTAAAATTAAAAAGTTAAATTATAAATCTAATTTTAGGCTTGAAATATAAGCGCATTTTTATGAGCCATCGGTCATATGCAGCATAAAAATGTTAAAATAAATTTTTGTCCAACATAAAGTCACACTGAATTTCTAACACGAGAAATAAATTTAAAAATTATCTCCATATGTGTGCTATTGGAACATCAATCTGAAAATTGACATCTTCTTGCCTGAAATCATCACTGAAAAGAAAAATTCTATATTAATTTTAATGCAGACAGTATATTCTAAAAATAATCATAAACATCAGTTAAGAAAATTTACGTGACAATAAAACTGATCCTTATTGATTTAAACAGCCGATGAGCAAGTCGACAAATCAGTCTGAAACCGGCATATTTCATATCAAACGTGGCCAACGTATTTGTTTTGATCTAATCGTAAAAAATATTTTATTGAGAATTTATCGTGGCGTTTTTGTGAATGTCGAGGATTCCAATTAAGCAGTATTTAATATTTGCTGCCATAACTTTCACTGAAAGAATTAAAACAAGTTTGTAATATAAATCAATAAAGTCTAGAATGATATTTGAATATTAAACTATATTCAAATGGGTACTAAATTTCTTATCTAGTAATATTGATTTTTAAACGCCAATAAAATTTAGTCATGCAGTGACACAGCAGGTAGTTTATTACGTCACAATACTTCACTTTTTTCATTCTTCAGAATGAATATTTTTTACAAATAAAAAAAAAATTATAATTTTTGAACCAAATTTATTGCAGTTAAAAGCTTTTTATTATAACAGAATAAAAATATATAATATAAAAATTCCTTAATTAGAGAATCCGAAAAACATAAAATGATAATTGTTGCTCCTACATAACCAACAAAACTGATATTGTACTGAAGCATGAACCAAGAAATGGATTTATATAGGAGTTTATGGATATATTAAAATTGTCTATCATACAAATAAATCTAAAATGTATATAAAATAAAAAAAAACTAGCGTATCTTTAAGAAGTATACCAAACACAAAAAAAATAGGAATGCAAAAAAAAAGTTTTTAAAAATTTATTGAACCTCTTAAGAGAAACTAATTAAATCAATTGATTATTTATGTAAATTATTTTCCCGCAAAAGATGACAATTTACAAAAGAAGTGGATAAAAAAGACATATTAATTAATCAAACTAAACATTATTCTGTCCAAGAGTGATTATAATTATCATAATTGCGTAAAATTTCACAAATTTTTTAACGAATAAATTAATATGCATATAAATTTGTACACAATCAATTTTATTAAAAATGGCATATGTCATTTTCTTTTAAGAAAAAAAACAGAAACAGATTCCTTGTCGTGCAGCACAGTCCGTTTCCATGAAATATGAAGGCTTACAAATTTAAGTTAATAGGA